GTGTGTGTGTGTGTTTGTGTGTGTTGTGTGTGTGAGCGACGCCACCGGCGCTTCATGGCCGTACTAACACCCCGCGCGAGCCCATCGATCTGCTAACTGGCTGAAGCCAAACCAACAAACAAACAAACAAAGGTCAAACAAAGTATGCAGATACACACACACAGCGGCTAGAAGGTGGCAACTGCAAGTCGCGCGTTCTTCTTTCCCTCGCTGATCCCGTTTAGCGATTCTACTTGTTCGCGTAGTTGTTCTCTGCCGAAAAGTTACCTGCCGAAAAACGGTGCGGCGGAATCGGCGGCTCAACAACGCTCGGAGCTCCCCTCCTCAACAGCGATGCGAAGCACCCAACGGGAGCAATAACGAGGCCTCCGTGAGCTTTTTACTTATAGCCTCCTCTATTTTGTGCGCAGTGCGCAAACACGACACCACGAACCGTCGCAGCGATTGCGAAAAAAAGCGGTCGCGACACACGCTACGACGCACACAACCACACACCGGACACGAGACACATGCGCATAACAAAATGAGTAAATGAAACTGCGCGCGGCGGCGGCTCCGACTGGTCACGAGGCTAGGAAATAGCGCCTCGTGGCATCTGCATCGCGACCTTGCTTCGCGACAAGGTCGCACGCGGACGCTCCAGCCTCTCAGCTCACCACCTCTCGCCTCTTCTCTATGTCGCTCTCTTGGCCTAGGTGAGCACTTGAGCACTGGATAGGGTCGGTTCCGCATGGTACGGGACCCCTCAATCGTCTCGCCCTCCCTCACTGGTGTGTTCATTGGGGGGGGTCATAACAAACACGGTACAGGATCGAGGTCCATCAGCAGCAAGCCTGAGCTGTCTGAAACCGCACTAATCTCGGGTCTGCAAGCTCACACCGGCTCGTGATGCCACGGAGAGGGCTCGAGATTGTCTCCGGTGGACCCCATCCGAGGCGATTGCGAGGGCTTTCCGGAGGCCATCACCGGCGCCACCGACCGTGAAATGTCCTGACCCGCAGCCCTCATGCACCAGGCGTATGGATGCAGTCATAATATGTAGGCCTTGTCTCCCGAAGTTTGGAGCAATAGCCGCAAATACTACTTTTTGGCAGTTCATCGCGACACGTCCAGGTGCCGACGAAGCGGCTTCCCAGCTCACCACCTCGCCTTCCCTGTCGCTCTCCTGTGGCCCAGTCCCATCAGCAGCAAGCCTGAGCCGTCCCAGACCGCACTTATCTTGGGTGCTTTTTGGCAGGAAATAGCGCGCGCGTTAGACGTGACCACCTGTCTGTGTCTCTGTCCGCTCTCAAAAATGCGGCTTTCGCAGCGCTCCCCTGGGGAAGGCGGAGAGAGAGAGCGTGGAGTAGAGTCTGGAGTGAGTCTGCCGGTGCGCGTGGTGAGCTGGTGCGTGGTGGCGATGGCGGCGTTCCAAGAGAACGATTGCGCGTCTCTTTCAAGATTCCTGTCAGGCGCGAGACGCGCAGGCCCGCGCACCAGATAAAGTACGTGCTTCCCCGCGAGAAAGATTTTTAGAGCATAGAGGACTCCTCATCTCCTCTTCTTCTCTGATCTCTCCTCCGCTACACGCTACACCTCCCAAACCAGCGTCTTCTGCCTCGCCACGGCCAGAATGTTGCTGCGCGCGTCCGCCTGCAGCTCGGCCGGGTACCAGACACCGGGACCGATCGTCGGGTCGCCCGTGGCGCCCTTTCCTCGCAGCAGCTCCATCCCGAACGCGGCCGTGGCCTGGCCGACGCAATCCTCGAGGTCCTTGTGCGCGCATCGCAGCGTTACCTTGGTGCCGTCCTTACCCCACGCGTCCACGCGCATGGCGTTGGTGCCGCCCACAAGCGCGTCCACGGCGCGGATGATCGGCATCGAAAAGATGGCGAGCCCCTGCATCTTGCCGCGATCCATGAGCAGCGAGGTCGGCAGCGCCGCCTTGAGCCCACCAAAGAGGCCATTCCAGAACGAAGGGTACGTGCCGAAGCGCGAGACGCAGCTCTGAATGCCGAGGGCCTCGGCGGTGGTGGGGA